TCTAAAAAGAGACTTCTTGCTTGTATTCAAAGATACTACACACGTGTGTGTATTTGCAAGGCCAAAAGGCAAAAAATAGCATGGACATGTGGTACAAACTAGTTAAAAGTAGAGACTTATCGAGAAGCAGATTCAGAATTTGAAATTTATAAATTATTAAAACGATCTCAGATTAATATATAATAATAATAATTGAGTTCATCTTTTTAATTCATACACATGATCTAGACAAAATCTACTAGATTTATGTAAACCTGTCGATGACACTTTAGACTTGACCCTAATTATTAAAAAAATCCGTTTACAAGGCACAACGAGTGAACCCCATGAACTTTTAACTTTTAACGTTTTTAAAAATAAAATAACTTTTAAGATTATAGTTTTATATGTAAGCAATTGTAGATAATTAATTATTAAGTTGAATAAACTTGAAAAAATGTAAGCAAAATCAATTTAAATAGCTGGTAATAAATGCACAAAACAAAATTCTAATTCACCAAATTCATAAGTATAGAATAACATATTAATATGTAATTTCTAGTCAAATATTTAAAAAGAAGCAAAAATAAAATATATTTTATAATGATGATGTGCAAGTCAACTTAGGTGCACCTGAATTGACCAACAAATAAATTTAAAGATAAAATATCATGTCATATATTTGCTTATATTTTAAGACTCTTTTTCCTCTTATTATAGTTCACTTGTGCACTTAAAAGGATATTTTTACTGGTCGATAAAGAGTTAAAGTAATGCAGAAATTAGTTATGCATAATTATTTTATTTTTTTATATAAAATAATATATAAATGTGGGGTTATAAGATAGTAATCAAAACAGTACCATATTTATTGTGCATAAATCTCTTCCTAATCAGCAATCAAACGAGTACTTTTTTTTTTCTTTTTTCTCCTAGCCTATGAATTATAAATTGAATTTCATAAACTTTGAACTTTAATTTCTTGAGTTGAAATGCCTTTCAAATCAATGCATGAATCTTTCTACAATTTGATCAAGTTTTCTCTGACTACAAGCATAGTAAAGTGAAAACACAAGGGAAAGAAAGAAACATCACCAAAGATTATGATGTTTTAAATCAAAAATCATCTCAGATTCGGACTCTAAATATGAAAAAATTCTTAATAAAAAAATGTTTATTATTTAGTAAGCTTTACATGGCGTAACTTTAAATTAATTAGACCCTAATAGAAATATCAAATACTGCAAAAAATAAAAGAAGACAACGGAAAGAAGAGAGACCAACAAAGATTGAGCTGGAATGAATAAATTAGAAATCTCGAATTCAAACTTTAGGTATTAAAAAAAATCACGACTAAGAGTGTTTCTTCCTTAATAAGCGTTACATAACATAAATTCAGATTATTCGTTCCCAAATACAAATATCAAACATCGCGAGAAACAAAAGCAAGACAATGGAAATTAGAAGAGGCACCACCGAGGTAGTGGCGGAGCCAGGAATTTGGCGAAGTGTGTATAATTTTTTTTTCTAGCTGTGATAAGAGTGTGCAAAATTAAATATACACTCATATTAATTAACATTTAACTTCTGTACACCATATAATTTTCTAGAGAAGGATGTGCACCGAATCACCCTTCGCCTAAGGTAACTATAACACCGTTGCACCGAGGATTGAGATGGGAGGAATAGGATTCCTTCTTTCTAATCATATCCGGATCGAATTCTAGATATGTTGTGAAAATTCATATTAATCGAGCCTTAATATAAATATTGAACACCGTAAAAATAAAAAATGAGACAACTTGAAGTGAAATGAGTAAATCCACCACAACACGACACATATATACATCAAAATGGACTACACATTCCAATTTCATTTTCATGTTGAGATAGTGGCGTATAATATATACTCAAATCAATATCCCTTTGATTGAGTGTCACCAAATTTTGTAACATATAAATCTGATGAATCTAAATTAATTGAAAAAAGTTAGATGAACGTTACATTAAGCACTTAAATTAGTTAAATCCAAGAAGAAAATGCTAAAATTGTACTATATATAAAACTATAACATCATATGGGTAAAAAACATCCATATACTATATATATTGTTTCTTTGGTTTTCCATTCGATGTTTGGAGTTTGTGTTGGTGTTTCGATTAAATTCGGATCACACATTGTAGGGCTTCATTTGGGGGTGACTCTCGCAACATAATTTTCTTTTATATTCAAAGCTTGAACCCAAAGCCTCTTATTAAGGTTGAAACAGTCATTTCACTACGCTGCAAACTCATGTCGGTAAGGTGAACTATTATTTGATAATAAAAAGACAAACAAATAAAGTCTAAACACAATATTTTTTTATAATCTCAATAGATAAATAATTATGATGAGTAAGTTAGTCGAATTGATGTTAACAAGTCGGATGAAATTAATCATGAAGCTTTAGTATAGTAACTATAAGAAGCACGTTTTAGTTTTAATTTGGAATATTAAATCATTTTAAGTCATACAAAATAATTTCATGTTTGTAATTCACTGAACTTTTATTTTCTCGTTAAAATGTTGTTTACATAAAATCACTAAACTAATTTTTTTTGTAAAAACACCACTAAACTTTGTTTAACTATCACAAAACGTCATTCAACTTTCCTCAAGTATTATATAAAATGACTCTAGTTAAGATGCTCACTATTCATCAAGATTTCACTATTTAATATTGATCACAATCTTTAATTTTCGTAACATAAATTTAAAAACTTTCGATTAATAGCGAAAGAATCCCAATTATCCCGCGATAACAATTTTCATGTTACAAGTAGCTAGGGGTCCAAAGACAAAAATAAACATGTCAAGGGGACACGTGTATAAGGTGAACATATTTATTTCTTTAATAAATTCTAATGAAACATTATTGTAAAAAGAAAAATTCAAAATAGTGGGGACAAAATTAAAAAATAGTTATGCCTCTCTGATTTGTTACTTTCAACTTCCATTCCCACTTGCCTCCTCTAATAAAACTCCATATATCATATGCTTAAAAAAAAATTTAAAATTTAAAATTTAAAATTCATAAATTCAAAAATATAAGAAAATAACTAAAATATAATAATATTATTTTTACATAGGATGATAAATCAAATCAAAAGGCTAATTATTTGATAAAGTCATGTAGATTTACTTACTACATTTTTTTTCAAGTTTCTTTATGGCATTTTGCATTTATCTTTATTCTCTGTATAGTTGGAAAAAAAAAAGTCGACTCTGATTGATAATAACATGAAAAATCCAATTAATTATTTTTTTCTAATTTAATACATTCTCATTTTCATTATGGAGTTTTGCATTTATCTTTTTCAGTACATAGGGAAAAAATGAAAAGTTGACTAGGATGGATGAAAAATCCCATTCTTATTATTATTTTTCCAAATAAATACTCTCTATTTTTATTTTTCCATTTTTCAATATTCAAATGGTGTGAATATAATTTGTATCCCAATTCATGTACTTCACCAAATTTCATATCAAACACTTCATTTCGATTAGAATAAACACTTTAAACACATCTAATCGTTGGACAAAATTTATGTGTTCACTAGTATACGAAATGTCAATAAACATAATATTTGTAATTATAAAAAAAGTTATGTGACGACTCTTATCTGATGTGGATATTGATCGTTTGTCCATATAAGCGTGATTAGGGGACAACGTAGTAAAAAGTGTTTAAAATACTTGTTTTAATCAAGTTGAGTTATCTGAATAAAACCTCATGAAGTATAAATATCAAGATAACAAATCAGACCAAGTACAAAGATCTCTCAAGTTATCATCCCATACAAAATGAATCTTTCCACACACATTTAAATTAGTCAAACTACAAAACAGATACGTAAAAGAATTTGATAAAGAAAAAAAAAGATTATCTCTTCCCCTACCCCACCCCCACGCCACCC